TAATAACATTTCGCTGAAATCGGTCTAACTTATTTGTCTTACAACTCCAATTCACTTGTACATATATTATTGAGATGTTTCAATAAATAAAATGTTGAAAGAAATAAAATTAGCAATCATTTGTTTCGCAGAATAACGGTGAGTAACCGTTCGTGCAAAATTATTTTGCGGGCAAGTGTCCGGCGAGCAACTGTCCATCGCGAGCAGTTGCCCGTCGCGGGCAAAAGTCCTACGAGCAAGTGTGTTGCGGGCATATGTCCGGCGGGCAAATGTCCTAGATTCATATTTTTTATTTGACGTCAGAGTCATGTCACAATTGATAAAAGTTAATTCCATGATATCTTAGATGGCTTATATAGAATGATTTAACCTACTCCATTGATATTCACTTAGTGACTACGATAAAATTAACAAATGATGATATTTCACATACTTCTTTGCATCTATATCGAGATATTTGTGTATAAGCAATAATTTGTTAAAATCAGTTCGCAAAAAATCGAAGCTCATTCAAATGCATAGTAGACACAATTATCTTCATCAGTACATCTGCATTTATATTTTCAATTTTAACAATAAAGGAATCATAATTTCTTTGAAGTAAACTCAATTGCTGAGGTTTGAAATGCATCTGACTGCCTTCGGTATCTTAGACGCGCATGATAATCAGCTGCTTCTTATATGAAACGCATTTGAACTTGTTTTCATTGGTATCTTCGTTGAAACGCGTGTATAGAGTGCATCCTTGCGGATTCAGTTAACTCAAAAAAACCGTGTCCGAATGAGCTTACAAGATCAATTTCTAGAAATTCGCGTCTACTCGCATTCGCATGAAACAAGAAGCGCACTCAGATGCAGTTAGTCTGCGCTTGGTACTTCCTTAGAAAGCCTGAAAATAAGAAATCCTTGTTCTAACTTAGAGAAAATTCTTTTTCCGATGTCAATGGAAGTGCCAATTAATTCGTTATTTAATTGTATCAATTGAGAAAGAATGTTTAGTCGTTGATTTGGAAATTTTCGGATGATAATGGAAGGGAAACAAGTGACATCATTGAGACGATCGCTTTCGAACTTAATCATGTCTAGATGATGAACAAAAGAATGGAAGAGAAATGAAAAATAAGATACGTGCTTTCAATGAATACTAATTTATCTTTTTCTCAACTGTTGATAAGAGTACCAAATAAATTATTCAATGAGACAATCTTAAAACAAATATTTCAATGATACTCTCGCATCTTTCTCTAATAAACAACTGAATATTAACAAATGACAGATTGGAAAGAGAATTGAGCAAATGAAGTCTGTCTTTTCATGTACTGGACGAATATCAATATCTTTGTTTTTTAATCGCTGAACTGCTGTTCGAACAAGGTTGTTGAGATCTTTATCTTAATCTACTCTTATCTTGTTTATTTCGATAAATCAAAAAAATAAAGGACTTTCATCACAAATCCATCTCTTTAGACACATTCACTTCAATAGAATCTAATCTCTTTCAGTTTTAGTCAGATTTCGATTCTTCAAATTCAACTCGATTAAACACTCAAATATCGAATAAATTCATTCATTTACAATATCATTTAAACCAATGTCAATCTGAATATATGTTTATTTAAAGATGAAAATAAATGAGTATCTTTCAAAAGAAATACTTTTGGCGAGAAACAATAAAAAAAAATGTCTTTTTCTCTTCAGTGCTTTGATAAATAGTGAATTTGTTCAGTCTGATGAAGAGGATTTCATTATCATTTGTATCAAAGGAGAATCCATAGAAATTTATCTTCAAAACTATCAGATAGTTAATATGTTTGTTCGCTTTGAAAAAGAAGTTAGCTGAGAGTGAGAAGGAAAAGAAAATTTTCTAGTAGAATGTTGATTATTCTGTTATTTGTCTCATTGGATCATCGAAATCAATTTGATCAATTTGATCAAGAGAAACAAACTACAGATGAAAAGAAACTTTTCGTTCAATATGGAGATTTTAGACGATATTATTCATAAGATTTTTCTTTGATAATGTGCGTTGACTGTAGTGATGATAGTCTTTCGAATGAATATTTTCTTAAATATTCATTTTCTCGATCGATGATCTCTTGAAAAGATGATTATCAACAATGAAGATAAGAAAGTTGATTTTCATCAAATGAGTTGTGAAGAAGAACAACTAGTTTTTCTCGATTGGAAACATCGTTCGAATGCATCACGCAATAGTTGATCATTTTAGTAGACGAACAAACTCTGCAGAGATATCAAACAAAGATTGATCATTAACGTATTACATTTAATCAGAAGTTTTTATTTAATTTGAATGTATATATTCAGTCGAGACAAGAACTAAATAGATCATCTTAGAAAATTTCAATCAAAATCTAATCATCAACAGAAATGAAGAAAAGAAATTCATTCAATCAGATTTTATCCAACAAACTTGATCATACTGTGTCTTTTACTTTCATCGAAATATTCATATTAATATGAATAATCTTTTCTTTCATTGATCACTGTCTTTTTTTCTTTCAGAAGTTCTCGAAATATTTTATTGCATAGTATCGAATCTATCAAATCTTCAATCGAGAATAATTTCATTGATCAAAGAATGTTTTCAATAAGATGGTAGAGAAATATTCTTCATTATGGTCATTGAAAAATCTTCTAAACATACCTTAAAGATGATCAGCAATGATTTGAAAAAAAGAAAAGACACATCATTATTAGAATTGATATTCATGCAAGGGGGAAACAGCTGATTTTAATCAATTTTAAATCAAAAAAATCAGAAACATCAAAAAACTCAAAAAAATCAGAAAATTTTTAATTTCTTTTGTTTAAAAACATCAATCAAGAGTGAAATCAGCTGAAATCAGATTTTTTTTGATTTTTCTGATTTTCTTTGATTTTTTTGATTTAAAGCAATTGATTTAAATCAAAAAAATCAAAAAAAAAATCAAAAAAATCAGAAAATCAAAAAAATCAAAAAAATCTGATTTTAGCTGTTTCCCCCTTGTATTCATGACATTGTTGATGCTCTTCCAAGCATTCACACTTAAATTGAATTGTAAAAGAAAAAAACGAAGTTTCTCTTCAATTGATTTGAGATGTAAATATCTTCGAAGAGTTGAAAGCTCGTTTCATTGAATGTAGGCTAATCGATGATTTTCATTGATCAAGATCGGTGGACTCATATCGTCTTCAAAATCAATTCTTTTTTTCTTTCAGAATTGATCTTATCTCTTGTTTTGTATCAAATCATTTTATTTTCGATATCATTATTCAAGAGAAATCTATGGAGAGATTTTTAATATAATCAAATGAAATCGAAATCATCTGAACGATTGATCAATGTTCAATCAAATAGAAATATCTCTGAAGATCTCTTCGTACTTATTCATACAAAGAAAGTTTTTCATAAGGATGATAGATTCATTTTTCTTTGATCGAACTAGGAGAAGAGAGGATTTCAATAAATTCCATCAGAAGTTATTTCAAATGACATATCAAAATCGAAGAAGATTAGCAAATCAAATGTGAAAAGTGTCTGAATTGATGTGAGCAGAGAAAATTTCCTCTGAATGATCGAATTAATATTGAAAAAGCTAATCTGATCAAGAACATTGTCGATTTTCACTGAATTAATCCTTTGAATTTGTCAAACAGACCAAATTGTGATTAGATATATGATTATTATTGTTCAAATTTATCTAAGTGAAATATTGAAGATGTTTCGAGGCGCTACAAGGCTATCTTCAAGTAATAGACATGCTTTCGCCATTGCCAACATTTAAAAGTTATACATCTGAAATATTAGTTGTTGTTGCAGCGATAACAGTGCATTGATGTGACTTTAAGGTTATCTCTGTTCTTTTTTTTTCATTTGCCACATTGGAGTGATATGTGCAAATAGAAGTTTCTTACTGTTACAACGAACGAGCAACTCTCTGTGTAGTTGTTAGTCTTAGCAAAAAGTGCGCACAGGTGAAGTAAACGCTATTTTATCTTGTCTCCTACATGCTATCAGATGGTGAGAGAAAGATGGGTATCTAAACAAACCAGTTACTCTTCTTACCAGGAGACTATAGTTCCCCAGGCTATTCATCAGAGGCCAACACAGATTAAGTCAGATATCAGGTCGGATCAGCCAACTAGAAAATTGTGAAGCTTAAAGTTCTTTTTTTAAAGTTATATACACTAGTTGCTTGTGTTTTTGTTGCATTTGATTTTCTTTGGGTGAGGAGCATGCGTGAAAGTTTGACGGCAGAACAGTCAATTACATAGGTTTTTAATATCGAGAAGATGCGATCTTTGAGACTGGACAACAGATTTCCCCTCATATCTGTGTGCATTGACGATGAACCTATGGTCCCTGACAAGCCACAAACTATCTAAAATTAACCCTTAGAGGATCGAATGTGCGAGGGCTTACCGGGACTTATTTTTTTGGGATTTATTTCTTCTGCAGGATTTATTAGGATTTATTAACGTGTATCAGTATTTCGGCGCACCCACAGTGTGGATACGCATGTATGCATTGAGTTGTGTCAATATTTCAGCGCACCCGCAGTGCGTGTAAGTATGCGTGTACTAAGAGATTGTATGAGATTTATCTCAAAATTACATACGAATTTATTTAAAAATTCCAATAAATCCCAAAAAAAATAAGTTCCGGTAGCTACTGGAATGTGCTTCAATCAATTTACTGTATTTGACCCAAAATGGTTACATAAAACTTCATGATAATACATCAAGAAAAGAGAGGGAGAGAACAGACAGATAAGGCGACCTATTACTTTACAAATAATAACAGTTTAATGCAAAGTAAACATTTTCTTTACTAAAAAACAGGTGAGACAACATATGTCCCATGATCCTCAAATAGATAGCATCTGCGTGCATCGACCAATCATAAAAGAAGCTTTGTGCTGTATTAGTTTTCTATTGTAAAATGTATCTATTTGAATGATTGTTAATTTAAGAAAATCTTCAGATTATTGTATAAAACGATGACCACCAGTAGTCCATTGTTTGATATAAATGCATTGGATGCGGAACATCAACAAAAATTTCAGACTGTTTACAATGAATTAAAATCGAATCATGAATCTTATCTTCAATATAAACTTAATTTACAGTTAAAGAACAAGGTGAATACGGAAGAAGAGGAGAATGAATGGTGTTATGAATTGCATAGATTTCTTTGTGCTAGAAAATGGAATGTAACTCATACCATAAAATCTATTCGAGAAATGATACAATGGCGAATAGACAATCATGTTGATTCGATTCTTGAACATGAACCCATGATACTTCGAATGGATATCATGCGAAAAATGGCTCCAAGCGCTCATCATGGCTATACGAGAGCTGATCGGCCATTATATATGGAGAAATCGGGTCTAATACATGTGGATAAGTTATTGAATCAATTTACATCAGAGGAAATGATCCAATGTCATATCTATTGGCTTGAATTCTATTGCCAACGAGCAAGAGAACGTAGTCAACAACTAGGAAAACATGTGGACAGTTTTGCTATGATTTATGATTTACAGGGCTGTAAACTGAGCATGAGAAAATTACTTCATCTATTTAAACAATCCCTTCATATTGATGATAACTATTATCCTGAACGTCTAGGACAGATGTTCTTTATAAATCCACCAAAAATTTTTCCTGTTCTTTGGGATTTAGTGAAACATTGGATTGATCCTGTAACAAAAGCAAAAATTCATGTCATTAAAAAAGGTCCTCAAACATCAACAGCATTATTACAACATATTGATTCTGACCAATTACCTCAGGAATATGGTGGAACCTGTCATTCATGTCCAACTTCACCGGATTGTATTCCTGTGTGTGAATGGAATAAAAAAGTTGCTGATGATAAAGAGGAAGAACAGCTTACTGGTCCCATTAGGGAATTAAACGACGAAGAACTAAATATAGAAGGGATAAAGACAGAGTGAGCGTGTCAAAGTCAGAATTGTACTCTTTTGCAGCTTGTCATCTATTTCAAAAAATACTGCTATATCTAAAAAATCTTCACTTGACCCATGTAAACATTTTTTTGCCTCAAAACGCGTCTGAAACGCGTTACATTTGCGTGCGAAACGCTAAGAGTGAACGCATCTGAACGCGTTCCCAGTGAAACAAATGAAGCGTTTAGACGCGATTTATTTTAGAAATGCGTGTGAATGCGTTCGTGGCTTGAATTGCGTTCAGACGCGTTTTTTAACGAAAACTCATCGCCAGTGAAACTAATGAAGCGTCTGAACGCGTTTCATATAAAAACGAAAAATTTTGAAAAAAAATCTGATAATCCATCTCAGATTCGAACTGAGTCGCCATCATGAATATTTTTCGATAGTCTTAGCCTTCCCTGGCAAATGGATTAAATTTTACCTTAAGCGATGACGATCAGATTTGAACAGATGAACCAGTGATCAGAAGTCGTTCATACACACCATTGAGTTATACTAGCTCGAAATCTTTTCTCATTCAAAATAAAATATATTTGAATACGAATTTCATCAGTTAAATACTTTATTTCAACGGCATTTTGACGTTTCGTCGCTACTTTTCATTCCGAACATCCAATGTTGTTGTCCGTTCCGAACATCCGTTTCTCTTCAAAAATCATCATTTTTATGTAAAAATATCGGATGTTCGTAATTAGAAAAATACGGGTGTTCGGAACGATCATCGAAAAGAAAACGGATGTTCGTAAAAATTTTTAACGGGTGTTCGGAATGCAACGACACAGACATTTCTGTTTGGGAACTGCATAATTTTAACGGACGTTCGTAAAAGAAGCTACCGGGCGTTAGTAATGAAAATATAAGGATGTTCGGAATGGCAATAGACGGATGTTCGTAAAACTTTATACGATAGTTCGGAATAGAGAAGGAGGAATGTTCGGAGCTGAGATCTGCTTCTTTTATTAATGCAACACTTTAGTTCTAATCAACCAATGTTCGGATGCTCTCCCTTTCGTAGCATAGTACATAGTATGTTAGACGCATAGTTACAGATGTGAAACAGTGTACTAAATTACAAACGCCCATTCACTCTTATTGGAGATAGCTCAGCAAGGACTACTTCACTATTAACAGCCTTTGACCTATCTATTTGCTTTGTGTTTGGGTGTGGGTGTGGGCAGAGTTGTAACCGGTAGGATTTTTTCCTTACCGGTACCGGTACCGGTCTAACTGGTCAGACCGGACCGGACCGGCCGGTATACCGGTATAAATTATTCTTCTGTTTTCTGACTCTGTAACACTAAAAATCAGCACCTAGATGAGTCATTTATTCCTTCTAATCACTACAGATATGATATAGAAGTACTAGTTCGCCATTGCAGTACTTTTTACTATTTGCTTTCATATGTGTTCTGTTTCTCAATATCTATTGGTGAGCAACAAAAGTTCATACGACCATAAATTCGATGTTAATTTTGCACTTTGATTAACTATTCATCAAATATTGGCTCTATTTATTGCTCGTATGCTATACTTGCGTTGTCATCTTTCGTGTCTGTGAGGACTATATGCAATAAATAATAGGAAATACAAATAAATCCATGATAAACTAC